TGAGCCACCGCGCCCGGCTTTATTTACGTATTTATTTCAAGATGGAGTCTCGCTCTGTCGCCCAAGCTGAAGTGCAGTGTCATGATCTCGGCTCACTGCAACCTCCGACTCCCAGGTTCAAGTGATTCTCCTGTCTCAGCCTCCCGAGTAGCTGGGATTAGAGGCGCGCACCGCCACGCATGGTTAATGTTTGTATTTGTCGCCATGTTGGTCATCCTCTCGCCTCAGCCTCTCAAAGTGCTGGGATTACAGGCTTGAGCCACCGCGCCGGCCTCGGATTTATTTTGAAGGAATCCGCTAATGGAAGAAGTACAGGGGCCAGTGGGATTATGGAACACGAGTCCCTCACCCACTCCGGGACAAGGGTGACCGGGGGTCTGAGCCGAAAAAGCTTACAGGAAGGATCCCAGGCTATAGTCCAGGGCGGTCACCAGAGAGGCCAAGCCACCAGTCCAAAGTCGCACGGCCGGTGAGTCAGCGTCGGAGCCATCCTAGGCTCCCTCTCCCCTCCCTATCTCTGCTTGTGTTCCCACGCCCCACGGTGGCCAAGGCTGCCCTCCCTCCCCTGGTCTCAGGAGTCACCATGGCCACTGTTTCATAACCAGGCTGGAGAGCAGGAAGAAGCACCCAGCTCTGAAAAGGCCTCTCCCCTCGGAGAAGGTCTCGGCTCCCCTTCCTCCTCACGGGTGTACAAACAGACTCCTGAGGTGTGAAGATCCACCCACAGCCCTCCCACCCTACCCACCCCCCCCACCCTACCCCCCCCCCCCCCACACACACACAGAGGTTCCCAGAAGACGTTCCTGGAAACATTCTCAGAGAAAGGAAGAGGAAGGAGGAGAGGAATGAGGGAAAAATGCACTCAATGATTTTTCAGGGATGGAGGGTGGACGGAGCGCAGAGATGTGGGAAATCCGGGCTTCGGTGCTGGAGGGCTGGAGAAGAGAGGGAGGCCTACTAGTCTTTCCACCCTATCCCATTGCCGTAAACCTACTGGAATGGAGATGTTTGGGCTAGAATTTTTGTTTTTTTTTTTGAGACAGAGTCTCACTCTGTCACCCTGGTTGGAGTGCAACCTCCGCCTCCGGGGAGGAAGTGATTCTCCTGTCTCAGCCTCTTGAGTTGCTGGGATTACAGGCGGAAGCCACCACGCACAGCTACTTTTTTGTATTTTTAGTACACATGGGGTTTCACTATGTTGGCCAGGCTGGTCTCGATCTCCTGACCTCAGGTGATCGCCTGCCTCAACCTCCCAAAGTGCTGGGAGTACAGGCATAAGTCACTGCACCTGGCCTGGGGCCAGACATTTTAATTTCTTTTCTTTTTTTTTTTTGGGACAGGGTCTCCCTCTGTTGCCTAGGCTGGAGCGCAGTGGAGCTTCCATCTCAGCCTCTTGAGTAGCAGGGACTGCAGGAGCAAACCACCATGCCTGGCTAATTAAAAAAATTTTTTTTTGGGTAGAGACAGGGCCTTGCTATGTTGCCCAGGCTGGTATCAAACTCTTGGCTTCAAGGAGTCCTCTGGCATTGGCCTCCTCAAGTGCTAGGATTACAGGTGTGAGCCACAGAAACTTTCTGAACACAGTCTCCTTGAAGAATCAAATGAAAGCCTGGACACTACCCCTTCCAACCAAATGCTCATTTGCATTCAGTCAATAAAATTTATTAGGCACCTACTGTGTGTCAGGCACTAGGAGCTGATGTAACCAGCAGTGATTTACACAGAAAAAAAGTCATGTACAAGTACAGAAGTCTCCTGAACCCATTGTGGGGATCCTCAGCTCCCCCAGTAGGTCCTGAGGCTCCAGGATAACACCCTCAGGGATCAGGAGAAGGCCCTGACCCAAGACTCAGGAAATCCCAGCCCGAGGCCAGGTGCGGTGGCTCATGCCTGTAATCCCAGCACTTTGGGAGGCCAAGACAGGCGGATTAATTGAGATCAGGGGTTCAAGACCAGCCTGGCAAACTTGGTGAAAACCCATTTATACTAAAAACACAAAAATTAACTGGGCATTGTGGTGTGAACCTGTAATCCCAACTACTGGGGAGGCTGAGGCAGGAGAATCGCTTGAACCCAGGAGGCAGAGCTTGTAGTGAGCTGAGATCCCACCACGGCACTCCAGCCTGAGCCACAGAGCGAGACTCTGTCTCAAAAAATAAAATAAAATAAAGAAAGACATTCCCACTTCAGCTCCACCCTGATTTCCTCTGGAACTCTGGGCAAATCCGTTTCATCCTCTGGCCTCACTTGACCAGTCTGTAAAATGGGAAGGCAGTTGGTCCCAAGTAGATAATGGACCTTAAGTGAAACAGTCCTGAGTTCCAGTATACCTTCAGTCTGGAAGGGACCCTGGGAAAGGGTGTTTTTATGGAATCCTGGCATTCTTAGTAATTCAGAATATCAGGGTTCACACACCAGCGCCATCATTACAGATGAGGAAACGCAGGTCCCTCAGTGCCAGGGGCTTGACAAAGGACACTCAGAGTCAGAGTGGATGCCAAGGAAATCCAGGGTCCCCTGATTCTGTGTCCTGAATGTAGTTTTCCTCCTATACACCACTCCTCTGTACCTGTTTTCTTTCTTTCTTTTTTTGAGATGGAGTCTCTGTCACCAGGGTTAGAGTACAGTCACGAAATCTCAGCTCACTTCTTCTGCCTCAGCCTCTGGAGTAACTGGGATTACAGGTGCCCACCACCATGCCCGTTTTTTTTTGTTTTTTGTTTTTTTGAGACGGAGTTTCACTCATGTTACCCAGGCTGGAGTGCAATGGCGCAATCTCGGCTCACCGCAACCTCCGCCTCCTGGGTTCAGGCAATTCTCCTGCCTCAGCCTCCTGAGTAGCTGGGATTACAGGCACTCCACCATGCCCAGCTGATTTTTTGTATTTTTAGTAGAGACGGGGTTTCACCATGTTGACCAGGATGGTCTCGATCTCTTGACCTCGTGATCCACCCGCCTCGGCCTCCCAAAGTGCTGGGATTACAGGCTTGAGCCACCGCGCCCGGCCCTTTTTTTTTTTTTTTTTATTTTTTAAGTATTTTTAGTAGAGACAGGGTTTCACCATGTTGGCTAGTTTGGTCTCAAACTCCTGACCTCAGGTGATCCACCCTCCTCAGCCTCCCAAAGTGCAGGGATTACAGGCATGAACCATGGCGGCCGGTCCTCTGAGGTTCCTGTTTTCTTCTGTCCCTCTGCCTCCCAGAATCTCTCAATTACCCACCAGCACTCCATCATCCAGGAATTTCTCTCAACCCCTTCCTGACATTGTTTATATGATTTTGCTCCCTGCTGGATAAGAGAGGACAGTCTGGGACACGTCCTTAAACTTCTTTCTGAACCAGCTCCCTGGGGACCCTACCCCCTAATGAAGGAAGTTGGGTTGCTTGAGAACGGGTA